TATATTACTCTCAAACAAGTCTAGCGGTTGGGAGGAATGGCAACTACTAGAATTTTGAAGGTTGTTCTTTTGAAAGTTAGTTATTATGATCATTGAGAAGACTTTACTTTTGAAACTGCAACTCCTTAAGATACTTTCTTTTGTAATACTTTCTATGATAATACTTGATGTGCAACAACACTCTTTAGACTTGATCATTGCGTCATTACTGATCAAATTTGCTTCCAATATGGTAAAATACCAATAACTTCGTTGTTATTTATAGTAGATTTTGCATATAAACGCAAGCCTTACTCGAATGCCTTACTTGTCAGGGTAGGGGCACTTCTTTACACATTAACTGCTGAAAGTGAAACGACATTGATCCTAGTCAAAGTGCTATAAATCATTCATGCCTTTTTAATTACGCAGATAAACATTCTTAGAAAATGTTTGATTATATAGTATTTAGTTGAAAACTTTGTGTGTAGTTAATTTAAAAAAATCACCCCTCAGAAACGTTTGCACATACGTCAGCAGATGTTTGAATATTTTAATTAAAATAACAAACACATAGGTCATACGTTTTGTTATTCTAATGAAGATATGCAAATATCAGAGGGGTGACATCTTTTAGTACCTGCAACAAAAAACTGCTATCAATACTATATTACTCTCAAACAAGTCTAGCAGGTGTGAGGAATGGCAACTACTAGAATTTTGAAGGTTGTTCTTTTAGAAAGTTAGTTATTATGATCATTGAGGAGACTTTGCTTTTGAACTGCAACTCCTTAAGATACTTTCTATGATAATACTTGATGTGCAACAACACTCTTTAGATTTGATCATTACATCATTACTGATCAATTTTTTTCCAATATGGTAAAATACCTATAACTCCGTTGTCATTCATAGTAGATTTTGCATATAAACACAAGTCGATGATACAAGTCTGCCTTCGAATGCCTTACTTGTCAGGGTAGGGGCACTTTCATTACACATTAACTGCTGAAAGTGAAAAGACATCGGTCCTAGTCAAAGTGCTGTAAATGATTCATGTCTTTTTAATTTCGCAGATAAGCATTCTTAGAAAATGTTTGATTATATAGTATTTAGTTGTATATTTTGTGTATAGTTAATTAAACAATATCACCCCTCAGAAAGGTTTGCACATACGTCAGCAGATGTTTGAATATTTTAATTAACATAACAAACACATAGGTCATACGTTTTGTTATTCTATTGAAGATATGCAAATATCAGAGGGGTGATATCTTTTAATACCTGCAACAAAAAACTGCTACCAATACTATATTACTCTCAATCATGTCTAGCGGTTGGGAGGAATGGCTACTACTAGAATTTTGAAGGTTGCTCTTTTGACTATGATCATTGAGGAGACTTTACTTTTGAACTGCAACTCCTTAAGATACTTTCTTTGATAATACTTGATGTGCAACAAAACTCTTTAGATTTGATCATTGCATCATTACTGATCAATTAATTTCCAATAACTCCGTTGTCATTTATGGTAGATTTTGCATATAAACGCAAGGCGATGATACAAGTCTGCCTTCAAATGCCTCCCTTCTCAGGGTAGGGGCACTTTTATTACACATTAACTGCTGGAGTGAAAGTGAAACGACATTGTTCTTAATCAAAGTGCTGTAAATGATTCATGTCTTTTTAATTTCGCAGATAAGCATTCTTAGAAAATGTTTGATTATATAGTATTTAGTTGTATATTTTGTGTATAGTTAATTAAAAAAATCACCCATTTGAAAGTTTGCATATTCATGAGAGGTTATTTGTGTAAGAATGAGACTGAAAAAGATACACCTGTCACCTCCATTTCATTCAGGAATTCGTCAAAGCACATGCGTTTCATCATTGTGTAGTTATTCATTCATTCATTGATCCGGCGTATTCAGGAGCTTCTTTCTAAATGTTCTAAAGCACGATTGAATAATACTTTCTTCTACACCCTCTACTATAGTTTAACATTCTTATGCCCAAACCAACTCATTCGCATTCTTTCTTTCATGTAGTCATAAATTAAACCTTTCTATTCATCATCTCATCTCTTCATTTACCTATCTCTCTCTCCGTTCCATCCTTCTTTCAATCTATCAATACGTCGTAGTTCTCGTATCATTAGGGACTTTTAGATTTGTGTGGACTGATACGTTAGACGTCCATTCAAGGCAGTGCATTAAAAGGACGTCGATCGTAGCAATCCACGCTGTCGTTGTGCAAATCTAAAAGTCCCTATTGTATCTGTTTCTTCTCTTTTCATCGTGATTAGTGTGCAGGGGTGGGGCACAAATAGCGTCTCATATGCCTTAGCTCCTTAGCCCCCCCCCCCCTCCAAATGTCTTGGAACCAAGAGCCACCTAGAAATGTGGTAATTTTCTTTGATGTTCTTTTTCTTATTGTTTTTCTTGTTTCGAATCTGGAATGTGCCCCTTCCAAATTTGATTGAATCCTAGATCCACCCCTGTTCCTCATTATTAAATGCTTAAAAAGTCCAGCGGTGGAACTGCTTGATGTGACACATTAAGTTATGGATTCAAATCTCAGCTGACTGCTTCAGTGGCATGCACAAAATAATGCTGCATAAATTTTATTCTCAAGATAACTTCCAATTCAATACATACATATTAGTTTTGAATACTCCTGAAGTACATTTAATAAAACACAGTAGCATTTCAAGACAATTTCTGTTCATGCATTGTTTTTTATTACAAACATAATTATAAGAATCTAATTTCTTTGTATCTCAATCAGCAATGGATCACGATATATTAATAAATCAACAATTTCCTACATCTCAGTGATAGATCAATGTATTTAGGCCTACCTGCTGCTAATAAAAGAACTTGATTGTCAATAGATGGAACAGAGAGCCGAGAGCCAATAATATAAGGTGTTAATTTCGTATTTTAAATCTTCTGAATCTCAATATACGATATGAAAACTAAAAGATGTGGTGAAAGAGTAGAATAATACAGAATGACAAATTTCAAAGAAAAGGTGGATTTTTCTGCAGAGGGGAAAACACTTTTTTTGACAGCCAACAACAGAACGAATTCGAGGTTGACAAAATGATATCATGTTTAATATATTATACAATGCGTACAAGAAAAGAAAAAAAACCGAGAATAATTGATGTTTTATCATAACTTAATCACAATCATAATTAATAAATGACTCATATTTGTAAAGCTTAGATCCTCTTCTTTCATTGGATGCAACTCATTTGATGCATATTTCACTCATGAGTGATTAAAATCAATCTGAAGACCGTTTTGTTCCCCCTTTTTTGTTCTCCTATAGAATCCTTGATTCGCCCCTGGATTTGAACAAGGCTCATCAGTAATGGCCTTAAAACATCAGACGCGAATCCAACATTGGCTGGATTCGGTGTACTAGTCCCCTCCCCTCTCTTTTGAGACCCTAATACGTCAATAAAACTTGCAATCGGTATACGGAATTACCTCGCCCTGTCGTAAGGAGAATGTCCTCCCTCTGTTTATAAACTTATGAATACGCCACTGGATTCTGTTCAAGAGTAATTCAGAAATATGGCCCACTTGGGACATCAAAACTTGAAAACAATTCCCCATTAATGGCCATGAAAGCATAGCTAGAATTTTTCTCACGCATGTTTGTTTTCTGTTGTTGCTGCTTTTTATTTACAGCTGTATACTTCAGTAAAGCATAAACAGAATTATCATATTCCACAGACCTTAACAGCAAAAACGAGCTGTATAGCTGCCTGTATGAATTAGACTAAGATGTTCAGCGAATAGTGATCATCTCTCAACTAGGTTCTGCTTTTGTTACTTATTTCTATGTGACTACCTAAACATTCTGCATCTAGAAACTCGCGAAGTGGCATCGGCAGATTAATTCCTGGTATACTTTCGCATGGTTCATCAAACCTCGCATCATTTTTAAAGTTTCGTTTACATGAGTCGGATCGAAATATGTCACATCTATATTCAATCTGTGTTGGATTTGTCAATCTATCCTCAGTTTTTATTTTGATGGTCATGATCAGCCTATTAGCTGTTGGATATTTCATCAAGACAAGGTAATTATTTTATTTTCATCTTTTTATTCATGCTGTCATGAAACGACAAACTTTTTAGATAAAAATCTCGCACAAATTTTTAAATTATGCTTAATGAACAGCTTTTTTAAAGGAGTATTAAAAACATTTATAATATAGGCCTATCTTTGTTTAATTTTTTTTAATTTTGTCGAATTCACTTTGGATTTTCTTGTTTTCATAATGATGTAACATTTTTGGTGTAAATCACTAAAAGAACAACTCTGGTTGCTGTTTAACTTCAGGGTTGTTTGTCACAATTGTTGCATATCAAGTCTCAAACTCATGGTCGTAACCTTCGTAGTACACAAGACACATTTATGTTGCAAATACCTCCATATAAAACCAAAGTAACCCTCGGGGACCGGTCATTTCTCTGTGCTGCCCCTAGATTATGGAATAAATTACCACTATAAATAAGGAAAACCCCATCACTAGATAATTTTAAATCAAAACTGAAAACTCACTTGTTCATAATAGTATGTATAGCACAGCATTTACAAGCTCTTGCAGCGCAATAGAATATATCCACATAGTTATTGCGCTTTACAAATGAATATTATTATTATTATTTTTATAAAGAGCGAAATATCTTGTCATCTAGTATACATTTCTCCTCCCAAATACGATTGCTCCCCTAAAGTCGTTATCATTACCAATACACACATACATCAAGTACATGTATCTATGGATTTTACATATGCTCTATCTTGAATCCATTCATATATTCGTGTTTAATTTGTCATCATTTATTTAGCTAAGTATTCGATTAATTTATCAGACATCTGTAGTGAAATGTAGTGCTTTTTGATAATGACTGGAGTGAATTAATAATCGCCAATGACCCGCCCCTGACACCCCCCCCCCCCCCAAAAAAAAAACCCATGAAAAATTAATACGGCTCTAACAATCCTGTTTTCCTAGAGGATCTCGTTTCCCCGCGGGTCCTCTCGGCGTGCCGGTCTTGGGATACCTCCCATTCTTGGACTGCCGACGACTCCATCAGAGCTTGATGAGCCTTGGCCGTCGCTATGGCAACGTTTTCTCTCTCAAGATCGGCGCGCAGACGGTCGTGGTTCTGAATAGCGCTAACGTCATCAGGGAGTGTTTGGTTGGGAAAGCGACGAGTTTTGATGGACGACCGGTATGGATGCTGAACAAGGTTAACCAAGGAAGAGGTGAAGGATTCTTTGTTATTTTTATCATCAGCCTAACACATGCTCCTTCTTATATACCATTATATTATTCTACTTCTCTCTCTCCCTCATTTTTAAACAAACATCATCGATGAATCCGATAGGACACAGCACATATAATTACCAATTTGACGTTCGCTGATGATACAGCACAATACTGTTTGGGACTAATTTTTTTCAAAATGTGTAATATGCCCATTTTTGCCTAAGCATATGCCATATCGAAAATGAAGGAAGGGCGACCACATTTTGATTCAGATATCATTGATTTTGGATATATAAGTGTTTAATGACAATTGTTCATGCCATTACAGGGGAAGTAAAACATGAAAGAGCTAGATGTATTATTATCTTTTTTCTTTTAAATGTTATTTTCTTCCTTCAAATTAAAAAAATCATGCTGATCCTTTGCAAAAAATGATGATACCTATTTATCCAAAGGCAGCTGGAAACATAATATCGATTACTGTCTAAACTAGGATATAGAGATGCATGTAATCTTTCCACTTTAATACACAGGTATAGCCAACGAGCAACCCACCAAAAAGTGGCAAGCCCATCGCAAGGCGTGGTCAAAGGTCACGCGAAGTTTAACCTCCTATGACCTTGACATGGAGGGCAAGATATCACATGACATTGACCGCATCCTCTCTGTCTTAGAGTCTAGTCAAGGACATCCAATCGATGTCTCCAAGACAGTACATATGGCTCTATGCAACATCATCTGTTCTTTATGCTTCGGGAAGAGCTTCTCGTACGATGACCTCGACTTTCAGCACCTACTCAAAATGGCGGACAAGTTCTTCCGCTACCTTTCAAGTGCCAGTGCTGTGAATTTCTTCCCGATTCTTTGGTACTTGCCGCTGAAAGCAAACAAGGCTGTAGCAGAAGGATACGAGGGTATCTTTGGTTTTGTGAAGAATCTCGTGGAAGAGAAGCAAGATGGAGTAGGGAGGATGCAGGACCGTGGGTTTATTGATGTGTGCTTAGATGAGACCAAATCAAAGAAGAACTGTGATGTTGTAAAGATGAAATCAAAGAAGACTTCTGCAGATATGCCAGGCAGAAATATTGATCGAAATGCCGAGACTACAAATGACAACAAAAATGACTCCATATCTTCTGCAGATTCCCATTGTCATCAACCATGTGGCAACGGCACGGCATGCAAAGAAATGGACAACGACGACGAGAATGATGTCCTCGAGACACTTGACGAGTACAGTCGACGAGTCATCTGCGAAGATGTGACATACGTAGCGACCGATATGTTTATAGGAGGAGCCGAAACAACACATGCAGGCGTGATGTGGTCTATTGCCTTCATGGTGCTCTACCCAGACATTCAGATTAGGGTGCAAAAGGAACTTGATGATATGGTTGGTGACCAACATCTGCCGGTTTGGAGCGATCGACATCATCTTCCATACACGCAGGTAAGTTCTGTACTACCATGGGCACCATTGCATAAAAGTGTCCACAAGCACAGTCACTGGGATTAATGTCATGTTGATTTTTTCTTAAATTCTGCAGTAAATGAATTTAAGACTCAAGATTCATAATAATTTTATGTTTTTGTCAAACCTATCGTATTCAATTTTGTTTCACGGGCTTTAATTTCTGATATTACAAGAAAGGAAGTGACGCTGAGATCATACCAAAGTTGTCAAAGTAATTGAATTTATTAAAGAACTAATATTATAAGGATAAATGATGAATATCATAAAGTTTCTACTTATATCAAATCTCAGAAGGTTTTTTTTAAAAGAACAGCTTGTTAGCGCTGCCGATTCGGCCTCAAAATGCTTTTGAAGATCCCTAGGTCACGATGGGTATAGCCTACAGGTAGTACATTGTACTAATTTCAGATCTACTCAAGACAATCCTCTGCAATAAAGTTGCCTATATTAAGGAAATATTCTTGCAATTCCTACAATTCCTACAGCCACTCTAAAATCATTGCATATACACAAGGATCTTTTCTTATTTCTTCTATGATAAAGGCTTGTCTGCAGGAGATCCTTCGCCTCGGCAACGTCATCCCCATTGCGATTCCTCATGTGACCACCCGTGACGTCACAATGTCTAATGGATGTCATCTCCCCCAAGGGACCACTGTCTTGTCCAACCTCTACGCTTGTCACATGGACCCTAGTGCCTGGGAAAGCCCCAGGGAGTTCCGGACGGAGAGGTTCCTAGATTCGGAGGGCAATCCAAAGCGATTTGATCACTTCATGCCCTTTTCAATAGGTAAAGATGCCGCAGTTGATGTGTTGGTCCCAAGCACAATTTACCCCATCCCAGTGGTGCGTTCAAATATTTCTAAATACCTACTAGCCATATGTCCATGTGTAGAGATGCAAATTATTTTTGTCTCTGGTTCCTGGGGGGGGGGGGGGGGAGGTGATACATGTACATACTCCATTCTATGCCCATGGGTATCTGCCGATCCCACTTTAGGATAACACGATCCATAAGCTCACAGTAATCACCCTCATTATGAGCGTTATCACATTAATCCCCATATTTATCATTAAAAAGTAGACATGAAAAACAATGAATATAATTTGCCATACTATGTCACCCGTGAAACGCAAACCGAACTCGAATAAAATTAGTTATTTTCTTAATTTTTTTCCCATTGGAAAAAATATAGAGCAATCAATGATTCCTTTGCAATTGTTTTGGCCTAAATATATATATTTTTTCAGGTCGTCGCATGTGTCTTGGAGAGCAGTTGGCCCGCATGGAGCTCTTTCTCGCATTCACTCATATCTTCATCAAGTACGACGTCAGCTTCGCGCCAAACGAACGCCAACCATGCCTCGAAGGCCGCCCCGGAATAACGCACAGCCCCTATCGCTTCAAAATATGTGCAATACCAAGAAAAGCTACGAAAATGGAACGGTAAAGACAGCCAGACTTAATCTTATTAGAAGGAAAAAAATCAATATCCCATTGAAGTATTTGAATGCTACATTATTCATTTTGTCTGAGAGTTCTTGACTTTGTCTTTTTGACTTTGTCTTTTTGGCTTAAAACAATCACTGTTATGCGCTTTGAAAATTAATGATGTCATTTACAATATTTTGGTGAGCATTGGTTGTACTTGAAAAAAGGACTTAAATGATTTTGTCCTAAACATCCTGCAGTTTACAGTAGCTTCATAATCTAGATTTCTTGTTTACAAATGCCTATATATTTTATTTCATCGTACAATGACCACATTACAAATGGCTAAAAAGTATTGTTCCAAAAATACAAATTTTTATCTTCATTGATCAAATTCACCAGTCTAGATAACATTTTATAAATATAAAAATGACATAACGCGATGAGTACACCATTTTGTCGTAAAATAAAAAGAATATGAATATACAACCAGAACATTATGACGGCTAATGCAAACTGGGAAATACAATTCAACCTTTAGCAATTTTCAATTTAATTAATTTCAATTCAATTTTTTTCATTTACAACAATTAAGAAATAAATATTGAAATGATTGTACAATTGTGGACCCCTCAAATTATACTAAGGAATAATGAGTAATTAAATTAGCAAATTCGTAACTACAAAAAGGAACTACAAATAGGGGGAAAAGGGGGATGCCTACAGAAACGAGAACGGAATCGAATTGAGTTGAACTGCAAATCGATTGTTTCAAGCCAAAATGCAGATCAGTACTTCGGTAACACTTTCGAGTGTCAGTCTGTTTCTAAACCTCTTTCTTAATCCATGACAAGTACATAGTTCCATATCATTTTATGAAATCAAAAACATTTTGTTCATTGTTTTTCAGAATATTTTCTGATAACAAGTAAAATAAGTAAAATACATGATTCATGAAATGAAATGATGTACTCCAGTTTTTCTCCAGAATTCTGAAGAAAAAACACACGATTGCATGGTACGCCAACAAGAAGACAAAGGAGTCTTTTTGGTTATAATAATAATAATAATAATAATAATAACAATAATGGTGGCTTCTTATATAGCGCAAATGTGCGTCACGTTGTGACGCTCCTGGCGCTGCCCCGATTATTACCCTGGCTTTAGCAAGGCAGCCACTGCGGCGCTCTAGCATTTCAAGGAATTAATTCCTGCCAGGTACCCATTTACATCACCTGGGTTGAGTGTGGCAAATGTAGATCAATTTCTTGCCAAAGGACATTAGTTATCTTGAAAGTAATACAATAAAATTATGCAAAATACACATACATCTTTTTTTTAAAGTAGAAAATAAAATAAAATACAGAATATATCTTCAATACAGGCATAATCTTCAGCCTCATATTAAAAATGATTCACAACTCGTGTACAAAGTTTGAGCTGTCTATTAAAGTTAAATCCGAAATCTACAATTTACAGTCTCTCCAAAACCTTACTCGAAAATATAAACGGCCGATATTTCTGATATAATTCAATCTTAATCTGCTTTATATATATATTTTTAAGTTTTAAAAAAGGTTTTATCCTTAAAAAATGTTAAAAGAGTTTTTCCTCGAAAATATAACAGCAAATATTTCAGATAAAATTCAATGTTAATCTGCTTTGTTATATATTTTTAAGTTTAAAAAAGGTTTTATCCTTACAAAAGGTTGAAAGAGCTTGCCCCTTTTTACGGTAGGGGAGGAATGGGGGTAGGTGGCACATATTCGGCTATGGGAACAAAATCAACATCGTAATTGAACGCTGTGGGGCCGATGAATTCTAGGGCCTGTGGTGATCGTAGAGCTGTAGGGCTGGGCAGGGCGATGACGGCTACACGGAGACCGTAACGAAACTCTTCTGTTTGGACAGCATGACCCTTGTCAGCGTCGGTAATGGTGATGATGTCAGGTGTCATGGCAACGACCTGTACAGAATGTATGTTTCAACTCATTTACTTGCGGAACATTTTGATAAACAGGAATATTTTATTAATAGATGAATGACAACTACAAATGATACCGTGGAACTGTACAGTGCATCAAAATTGTTTTCATAATTGTATTTTTCAATAGTAAAACATTGAGAAAAGGAGAAACTTCATCAATATTTGACATGTGAATGACATCAGTATTACTGCACATAGTGCTACATCTTAATTCAATAAAGAATGTGAACAATTTCTTTCCTTTTCATACCCAAACGATTTATTGCATTATCCAATCGTATTAATCATTTTATTACTAATCTTGTCTTGTGTTTGCCAAATAAATATTACATTTGAAAGGAACCTTACTGTTTTGTCATTCATTAGGTTGCATGTTATTTTCGAAGGTTTGTAATTGAACGAAGGCTCGTTCTTATGAACGTTCGAAATTTAGATTAAATAAGTTGTTGGTTTCAGAATAACAAACCTTTGGAATAATTGCCCCTATATCATTCTAGAATTATGACTCTTCGGAAAGAAAGAAAACCTTTGAAAAATGAGAGCAATTTTGAATGCCGAATTTTAACATTTCCTTCACAAACGAAATAATACACACCTTTTCTTGGAGCACGCCGTCAACGATTTTCCGTTCCTTAGCAACAAAATTCTCGTTATTGAAACAAACGAGAAAGGAAACTCCCGAGTACTCTCCTGATCCTTCTACCAGCACATTTCCCTTATCAAAACCCCCTGTAGTCTCGCGATTTACGTTGGTTATCTGCAAGTGATAGCAAAGATAATTTAGTACATCTTTGGTGGAATATCAATCAATAACACCATTTATTAACCAACTGCCGCCAAAGACCAATCCGCCTGATGAAGCGTCCCAGAGTAGACGTGAAACGTCGCAATTTTACACATAGTAAGTCTTATTGACTTGTTTTCAACATTTGACGTTACTATTTATTATCATTATTTCGGCATCACTTGTGGAGTATGAATTTTTATGAACACCACATTTCTTTCAAGAGTAATTTAACTGTAGTATAGAATTCATTAGATCATTAACCAGTTGAAATGGGGACGTGATTCCACAAATTTTGCTTGAGTATTGAAATTCTTCTGATAAAAGCAACAACTTTGTCTTCAAATATTATTAGCTTTATTGACTAGAATAAACATGATGGGTAAAGTATCAAAAGCAACAAAAGGAAAGGAACGAACCCTGTAAAAAAAAAAAAAAAAAGGGTTTACATTTTTACTAGGGGGCTATAAATTATAAGACAAATGGAAAAAGAAGGCAAATGAAAGATGAAAACGAAAAACAGATAAATTCATTTTCATTCGGAGGGCAGTGGGTGGGGCCGGCATCTGCCACTGCAAGACAACTAAATTATTCATTCCCCTTTTTGATTAGATTTTTGTTTGTGTTTCGTAAGTTAAAGATAAACTTTAGTACTGGTAATGCGATTGCATTGTGAAAGAAAAGGTGTGGAAAGGATCAGAAACAGTTGATCATGTAGCATGTAAGTATTGGTGTGCACTGCAAGGTTCTGGAGTCATCAGAATCATAATAAATTTGACCGAGTCTTGGTAAAGTAACAAGCACTCACATAGAAAGCTATATATGGGACAACACACATGGTGTCGGGGCTAGTACTACCTTGATTTCATTGTCTTTCTATGCTCATTACTTAGCCAGTATACATTTTCTTCCAAAATTGTTGGGCACATGTCATTTATTTGTAATCTTGAACATTCAGTGTAAGTTTCGTTTGATTCTGTGAGAATTTTTTTTTTTTTTTTTACCAGTACTGGAGTTTATCTTTAAGGTTGAAAGGTGGACTGGTTGAATTAGGGCCTTTGTTGATTACTTTTAGATGTAAGCTTTAATATATCACATTCTCAATAAACATGAATCGGGACAAGTCAATTTTTCATTACTAAATTTTTAAAAACAAAATTTGGTAAGGGTGTGAGGAATTTTAATAGTTGATAACTGTATGTGACATAACTGACAGAAAACCACCCGTTCTCACCTTGCCCCTGATGAGTAGCACCCCGTTGCCAGCCCGGGCGATGGCCTGGATCGGGTCAGAGCTAGAGCTTTGGGACGACATCACTACATGACCCAGATGCCAGGCACGGCTGTAGGAGTATGGTACAGTTGTGGCTAAAATATCCTCTGCGCTCAGTGGTGCAAAGGCCACTCCTCCCAAACATCTTTGTGAATATTGATAACAGAAAGCAAATCAGTGCAATGCGGATTAATTTTTTTCGCCCGGTTATCGTCACAATTGACAAGAAATTGGAACTAAACATCGACAACTGAATTGAGAAAGTGTTACAACTTTAATCTTTAAACAATTGTATTTTAGGCACTTCTTGACTAGATGTCAAGTTTGGGTAGGCTGAAAATGGAGCTACCTTGTTTAAAGAAACTAGATAAAAGTACAGATAAACCCGGGGAATAAATAGGCCTACACATCATCACAGACTTCTTTTTCCTTTTAAAGACCTATTAACTTTGTGTTGATTGCAGCTCCCATTCAAAATTCTACTCAATTTAAAGAACTAGGCTATATGGTTTCAATAGTACCAGACTACCAGTGATTTAAAGATGGGCCTTCCAGCAGATCAAAAGCCCACACCACTTAAAGCCCACGAGATCGACATTGTCGATGGCAAACAGATGGCAAACAAAAAGTGGATTAACGTTTAGCCTTACCCCATTTGACCTCCGACGACATTACGAAAACAGTTTTCAACCTGAACTGAGTTTGCTGCCTCAGTTATCATGGACTGTTGACTACCGTCACTAACCAAGACTGCAGGATACAAGGGTTTCTTGTGAATCGAGGGAAGGAACATCTAACAAAACAAACAAACAAAAATAAAAAAATAAAAAAATAACAATACACACAGAGCGTTGCTGGATTATTTTAAAAGTGGGAAGGGGAGGGTGGCTGTCAGACTGGTTTGTTAGCTGGAAGTTAGTTGAAAATCTTTTCAACGCAACCCCCCCCCCCCCCCACCGCCAAAGGGTCATTCTT